ATAAAAAAAAATCCTAGGGAATATAATAGAAAAGTATTCAAAAAATTGAAAGGTGAAAACTAAAAATATTAAATGGTTAAAATTAAAAAATAAAATAAATAAATTTTAATTATTTTATTATATCATATAGGTAGGGTATAAAAAATGTAGGGAAGAAGAAATAGGAGGGGGTAGGGTTAAAAAACCCTTTTATCTTTTAAAATAAGAACATTTAAAAAGGTTGAGAATATAAAGATATATTTGAGCCGTTCACAATTATATGAATGGATGAGATTTTAAGAGGAAAAAGGGTAATAAATAATTAGAGTAAATTACATTTTTGGTCCTTATGGTTGTTACTCATCATCAAATTTGGTCCTTCTTTTAAATTAATTACAAGCGTAGTTGCCATTTCATTTCATTTTCCAACAATCTAACTAACTCTAATCAAATAGTTAGTTAACTTTTCTTTTTGTCTTTTTCCCTTTTTTGTGTCTTATTTGATCATAGAGTAAATTCCAATTTTTATCGGGTGGTTTGTTTTTTCTTAACAATTTTCTTTCTTAGGAGGTATTTGAGATTACTTATTTGAAATAACTTATATTTTTTTACAAATTTTTTTATCAATTTATCTATACTATATTATTAAGCAAATTTAGCAAAAGTCTTAAAGTCTTAAAATTCTAAATAACCAAAATACCCTTTATACCCATTTTTTCACTTTTTCACCTCCTACTCTCCTCACATACACTCACCCTCTCACAACCGATTTTTTTAAAATTATAATTTTAAACTTATACTTTATACCCCTATAATTAATTAATTAATTTACTTTACGTCCTTTACTTTTAAATGTTTCATTTTGAACCTTTTTATCAAATTAACATACATAATCGTATATCAATTAAAACATGTTTAAAAAATATATTTTTATTTTAATAAGTTACACCATTATAATCGTCTCGTTAATACTTTCGAAATAAGTCCAATATTGAATAGTTTTTGACTTAATTATATTATTATATATTATATATACTGTGAAAAAATATTTTTAATATTTACGATTTATACTTTTATAGTTATTTATTTATATATATACTATATATTTTGGGGTTAGGTTGTCCAAATTGCATTGTATAATATGTTTTGAATTAATATGTTCTTCGGATTTTTTGAAATGTATATATACATGTATTAATTCAACCTTAATCTGAGTTTTTGGACAAAAAAGAAGGTAAGCAGTTGAAATTCATTCTAAAACCCATCTTTTTTTGTCTTTTCATGGTC